TTCCCCAGCCAGCATGGCTGGCTGGGGAATTCTGGGAGTTGAAGTCCACCCATCTTAAACTGGCCGAGGTTGAGAAACCCTGATCTAGAAATTAAAAATTAAGGTGGAATAAAATGGACAGAGCAGATGATGCTCTTTCAGATGCTCTGGAGGTTGTGAGTCTTCCCACAATGGAGGCTTCAAAGAGGAAACCAAACAGCCATCTCTTGAGGATGGCTTCCCAGGTTTTCCTGCACGTTCCACGGGGTGGACTAGATGATCCTTGGGATCCCTTCCAACACCACCAGTCTATGATTCTATCACAGGATAATAGCAAGGGCAGAGAAGTTATGACAACCAATATAAAATAGAAGTGTTGTGGGCACGGTCCGTTCCTTGGGATAAGAGAAGGCTGAGCTGACGCCCACATGAAACTCTTACACGTCGGTGGAATTTTCTGGGCAAATTTGATCCATTTTATTTTGCTTGCTTGGAATCCCCTCTCCTCATCCAACGTTCCCCACTTTGGGGAATGGAGTGACCACAAATCTAGAAGGGGGGGGGAAGAAGGAGAATGTTTTATTTAAGAGGGACCAAAAAGGAAGTGATAGAAGCTTACAAATTCCTGCTCATGAGCTGAGAGGTAGGACGTTGGTGCTACCTAGTGGTTCATTGGATAAAACCAAGTGATGCGCTTCTCTGATCACTTTGCTTTGCAATTATGCAGGACCCTGGTTTTCTTCAAAGCTAGTAGGGTTTGGGATGACCACCTTTGTGCCCTAAATCTTTTGAGTCAACCCCCCAAACCTGCTGCAAATGGTCATCTCTGATGAGACGGGAAGGGGAAATGATTAACTCTACAAGGATAATCCTACTGGCAATCCTTAACTTGACTTTGTCTTGTCAAGATGTTGGCAATCCTTAACATTTCCTTGTCTTGGCTCCTGGCCTTCTTGGAACATGATCCTGGCACACTACCCAAAGGTGAAATTCAGCCTTCGGGGCCCCCCAGCAAGCTGAGAAGATAATCAAAAACCAGAAGCTTCTTCACAATCCTCAGAGCCACACCCCCCCCAATAAATCTGGGCAGATGATGCAAATCAGAGCAATTTCAGGTTTTCCAACAGAAAACATAAATAAGTCTTCTGTTTGGCTTAACATGCTCAAAGAATGAATTGTGGCACCGTTGCTGTCGTGGCTCTTGGTTGATCCCCCCCAGTTGCTAAAACAGTTGCCCACCCCTTATTACAAGGCAAGGATGATTTGCAAGAATCCCGCTCTTCCTTGGCATGTCCCAAGGGAACAGTGGCAGAGAGAGGGTGTTCCTTTACTGACACCCGTGAAAGAGGTCTTGGATGGTATCGCTGGAGCACCATTGATTCAGGAGACCTCTCCCTCTTTTGGGGGGAACCTTTCGGACAACTTATTCAAACCTGGTTTCTCTCTAGAGGTTTGGACTTCAAACCCAGCAGTTTCCAGCGATAAATTCCTGTATCTGTTCCTTCAATCTGGAGGAAAATGGCCTAAAGATTATTACAAAAGGAATCTCCTTGGAGTTCAGTGCAATTTCTAGTGACTTCATGACCACATCCTTGTTGTTTTCTTGGCAACAGCAGTGTTTCCCAGGCTAGCCTACCACTCTGAGATAACCCAGTGGTCTCCCATCCAAGTATTAAACAGGCGCCCCCCCTGATTTAGCTTCCAAGCCCAGTTAGAGAGGCAGGGACTCCTTTCCCTCTACAACCAACTGCTACTACCAAAATAGCAAATTCACATTTTATTCTGCATGGAAATAAACTATACAAAAAAATTCATTTTTCTTTTTTTTTTCCTTCTTTTTGTTTTGGCCAAAAAATATTTGCAGAAAAGTTTCTGTATGACTTCTACATTAAAAAAACAAACCAACGAACAAACTCCAGAGCCTGCTCACCAAGTTAGTTCTTATCCTGGAGGCCACAGAGAATGAATAAGAATATAGACGTAGGTCTGGCTGGCCATGGTTTTAGATGTTTGCAAGGTATTGTTTTGACAAGATAACTTAATTCATTCATGAGGGGGGACCACATTCTCTTCTGATTGCATCCAAATCTGACAGAAAGGGAACCCAGATGATCAACTCAAGCAAGCCTCGATTAGTAAAACGGCTGCAATTCTTAAAACATGCTTCTGAACTCACAAACCCCCTTCTTCTGAAAGAACCTTAGAAGCCTTGTAGAAATGAGAACCAGGTTCGGTGAACTGGATCAGTCTCCACATTTAAAACCCTCGGTGTAGACACTCAGAAGAATACCAGACATTTTCCAAACTTACATTTCCCTTTTCCAGGGCTGGGGTGTGGGGGAAGAGGAAGGAAATTAGCAATCAATACAGGTCCTCTTCCATACAGGAACTTTTCCATTACTGAGCACAAGGCAAGGATCCACATGGTCTTTCTGAACCGGGTTTTCTCGGGGATAAACAAAACAGGAACTTGAGTGTTTTATGCTGAGAACAGGACATCAGCTGCAAAAACAGAGCTGGATCAATTATCTGCAGCTTGTTTCAAGGCATGCCTAAAATGAAAGGGAGCCTGCTCTGATGCTTTACTTCACGCGGGGTGCTGAATCCCCCCACCCTTATTCTGTAAAAGGCAAAATGAAGGATCCCAACCCTACTGGTTGTCCACTCCTCTCATTCTGTTAAGTCTCCTGGACCGCTTCCGAATTGCGGGAAGGAAGAAATTCCTCTTGGAATTCAGCTTTCTCTGGATACAGTTTGAGGTAAGTGTCCACCATTAAATCTAAGTCATGTTTGATGTCAAAGTTTATGTTCAGCAGGGCAAGGTTATTCGACCGCTGCTTGGTCACCGTGTTCTTTAGGTAGGCCTTCAAGCGTCGTCGGCCAATTTCAAACTTCTCGTTCTCCACTTTCATGATGGGGAGGATGCAGAGAACCTTAAGCAATGAGTAGACATTGGGGAAAAACTTGATGTCGGGCAAGTGGAGGGTTTCATAGATGGTGGTAGGAAGTTCAATGTCCTTCCCTCTGTGTTTCCACTTGATTCTCCAGCAATGAAGTTCCGCGGAGAGGGTATCTGGGTTCGTGAGATCGTTTTTGTACATATCGGCATGATGTTCCTCAGAGGTATTGAATTTGAGCTGTCCCATGACCGAAGGCACTAGAGACAAGCACTTCAGCGCCCTCAAGTGCTGCTCCGAGAAGATATCTTTCAACTCCTGAATGATGTGCTCCACCGTTGGAATGCTAAGTGCTTCTTTGTAGTAATTCTCCGGGGTGATCTCAGAATCCAAACTCCCCTGTTGGGCTCGGCAAAACTTCCCAGGCAGCTTAATGGGGAGGTCCAGCTTGGTGGCCAAGTTGGTGGCTTCCTCAAACCAGAACTCATGATACACCTCGATGTTCTCCATTACCTCGTTGAGGGAATGCAAGACGGCTGTCAAGCTGCTGGCTGCAAAGAAAACATCTGAAGTTTGACCCTGGAGATTCTTACCAAAAGCCCGGGTGAAAGAGAGGATGTTCTTGATAATCACCACCGTGACCACAAAGTCAAAATCTGCTAGTGCCATAGAAAGGATATACGCTTGTCCCGCCACAGAGCTGTTCCATGGGATGGAAGCATCATTTATGCTGTCCAAGCATAGCACCAGGGCCTGGAGGAGGTCAACTACAATCTCAAAGGTGTCATGCCGGCCTGTCCAGTGCGAATGGGCGATCTCTTTCAGCAAATTCCCTTTCTCCTCGCTGTTGTGAAAGAGAATGGAGATGATGTTGTCCAGCCCAGCCAACAATTGAGGGGACTGGAGAAAGAACAAGCAGACTTCTTCCATTGTTCCCAGTGCAATGGAAATGCCAAGAACGGGAATTGATTTGGCTAACCAGATGTTCAAGGCACAAGAAGAGGACAAGGTATAAACAGCCTGGGGATACTTTTCCAAGATCCTCGTAGCCACAGTCTTCATTTTAGAAGCAAACCCACTGGAAACGACATAAGCCTGACCCCGACAATATTCCATGTTTAAGCCCCACTTTTCGGTAATTGTAGTATGGAACTTAACAGCTAAGATTTCAGGGTCTGCCTCATACGGTAAGAAGCCAATGAACTCTTCTCTCAAGTTATGAGCGTCATCCACAAACCTCACCAGGACCGGCAGGTGTTCCTCGCCCGCCAGGTCCACCACTTCGTCGGTGACGATGGAGAAAAACTGAGAGTCCCGAACTTCCCTGAGCATCTCTTCTCGCACACAGTTCTCACAGATCTCCAGCATTTGCTTCTGTTGCGCTTTGGAGCAATACGCCAGGTTCACGGCCGTGGTCTCAAACTGCTTCCTCAGGACCTCGTCTCCGGAATTGATCCTGAACTCCAGGAGGGCCTGGAAGTTGTCCGGAGTGAAAATGCCTTCGGGGAGCTCGTCGACATTGTGGCCGTCCAAAGGGATATTTTGTTTGCCCATGAGAATTAAAATTTCAAATAAAGATTTGAGGTAATCTTTGTTTTCCCTCTCCTCCTGGGTTAACGGGACATCATCTTCGACTGGCTCCTCCCGGCCTTCTTCTGATGCTGGGTTCTGGACGTCGTTCTTGGATTCTGGATTTGCCTTTTCTTGTTCAAAAGCTTCATCAACTAGGGGAGGGAAAATGGGAAAAAGTATATTTAATGACGACACACTAGCAATGCCAAACCACTCTCTTTAAAATACTGAGGCGTCTAAATACTTTAGTAGTGTCCTTATTGTTATTATTATTAATTAGATTTATTAAAGTCTAGAAGAGAGCAGCCATGCACATAATAACAACAACAACAGTTATAGGCGCTTTAGGGGCAATCCCAAAACATCTGGAGCACCCCTTAAAGACCATTGGCCTTGACACATCACCATCAGTCCATTGCAAAAGGCAGTGTGACTTGCAACAGCTTCCATCCTGCGACGATGCCTCGAACACCATTGAACAAGATCTGCCTATCCCTGGTCCTGGGGAAGGACTCGATAGGTGGACAAAAATGCCAACTCCAGTCTAAACATCTGGCTGACTATGCAACCCACCATAATAATAATAACAACAACATCATCATCGTCATCTAAGGCGGTGGTTCTTAAACTGTTTGACCCAATTACACCTTCCCTGGTTCTGAATAATACCCACACAAAAAAACCAGACTCTGTTGCTTTATGCAAGCGACTCAGCAGCGGCACTCCCAGACTGAGTCCTCAACTGCCAAACAAGCAATTACAAATTGCTCTATTACTCCCAAGATATGCCCACCCCCCGTTTAAGAACCACTAGCCCTTGGGATATTTATTTGCCTAAGAAGAGCCTGTGGCTCCATAGCAACTGAAGTAAATGAATGCCCAGCGGGGTGGGTAGACACAGGCAGGCCCAGAGACTGGGCCAGGGCCTAGGAATGCTTGAGCTGCCCATCGTGGGCAGCCATTCATCTGTTGGGATGAGCAAAACCACAGGACTCCTTGTTCAAAGCGAGGCTGGACCCCAAACGTGCTTATTTAAATGCCTGACCAATCAAATATAGGAAAAACAATGTGAAAGTAAAGAAAGGGGAAAAAGGGCCTTGAGTTGTTATAAAAACAGAAGGGTGG